CAAGAAAAGACGAAATAAATTGCCATTTCTCTGTAATAAGATTTGATTGATATTGTAAACTTGTGTATTCTTTTCTTGCCAAACATTCCAACAAAAATGTTATATTTTTGTCGTACTTGTCATCACTTTGCCTAAAAATTGTTCCAAGGAGAATTTTTTCCTTAACATTTGAATTGTGATATTTTACGGCATGTAAAAACATGTCTACTAAGTGATTATATTCTAACTTTGAAGCAATATATACAGGCGTCTCTCCATTTCTTTCTCGGACTGCCAGAAGATCTATTATATTACCAATTGAAGAGTCTTTCACGACATAATGTGTCTTTATCAACCCGAGAAATAATTCAATGAGCTTTTCGCAGTGTTCGAATGTCAATATGTGTAAGGCAGTCTGAAGATCTTTGGTAAAAAACAACTCCTTTTTATTAAGCCACAATTTAGAAACTTTCTGAGCGCAAAACTTAAAAGAATCTGCTGATAACTCGGACTGTCTCAAAAGATTATTCAGGAACATTCTTACAATTTTGTACTGGGGTTCCAGCATAATTTTGGACACTAAAAAGTCTTCTAGAGCTGGATATTTGGAATGTCGGCCATGGACTTTGCTCATCCAATTGCCTAAAATATCGGCTACAAAATATTCTGCAAAAGTTCTATGAAGAAAGTCAATATTTCCATCAGATTTTAAACGAGTTAATCCTACTCGCAGTAACTCAGTTTTCTCCTCTTTAATAACTCCAACCAGGCTCATGTGTTTGTCTCCTAAGTACTCCTTTGCATGATCAGGAAAGAAAATACTGAAAGCTAATCTTCTGTGTCTTTTGTTCAGCATTTCTGAAATCCATATTTTATTTTCTGAGGTCCATTCTGAACACAAATTGAAATTTTCATGAAAATAGATATTGTATTTAATATTAATGAAACGTTTATACAATTCAAAAACATTGAATTCAGGAAGAACTGGCTCAAAATATTGAATATGAGTTACACTAAACAATTTTATTTGTGGTTCTCCTACGTCTGCTATCATTCTTAATTGCAAAGGAACGCCCATAAACGTACATATATCATTTCCAAAATTGCTCTTAGCCTTTTCAAATGAATCCTTAGTGTATTTTTTTAGCTGTGCTTGTATGCCTTCTTGCATCTTGCCACATCCCAGATCTATAACAAGTCGTGACCACCAAAGGCTTTCCAAGAATTCTTTGTGTTGATTCTCTTTCAGTTCCTCAAACGTTGTGGAAAATACTGAAAAATGATTTTCCAACTTAGAACTTAGAAATTTTCTACACGCAATCAAAACCCTGGCCGTAGTTTTTAATATCAGAAACTTGATGATTTCAATAATTTCTTTCTGAGTTATTGAATTTTCTTGATTTTCTTTGTTGGGTCTTACTTCCTCTTCTTTCACCTCATCAAAACCATCAAATAAAATAAACACGGGAATAGAATCTCTAAGCAGACTTTCTATAAACAATGGTCTCGTTAGATCATTTTCCAAAAAACTATTACCTATTGATAAAAAGTGTACAACCTTATTAAGATCAATATCAGATGAGAAAGGTTCTATCGAGTTATAGTACTTTAAATCAATATTAATGACCCAAGATTGTTTAAGTCGCTGAGATAACATCTGAAGTGTCGTTGATTTACCCATTCCAGCTTCCCCACTAAGAATTATAAGCTTTCTATTCAAATCATGAATAAATAATTGCTCGTTTTGTGGATCATCTGGCACAACATAAGGTCGTAAATTTTTTAGGGAGCCGCACGATCTTTGCCAAATAAACTTATCGCACTCCATGAATATAAGATGGGATGGCTGGTGGGACTTGCTTATTTCTTCAAAATGTGAAGTAGCCTCTTCTTTATCAGAGAATGCTAAAATGTTTTCCCATTCATTAAGTCGCTTTCCGAGATCTCTTGATAAGGGAGATAATCTAATGAGATATTCTTTCGAAACGTTACCAAAAATAAATACATCGGAGACAAATTCACTAATAAATTCCTTCTTTAAAAAATCTTTGCTCAATGTCATTTGACTGTAAAGTGTTCTCTCTATATAGAAGTCTGTGTCAAATACTTGCTTCCATGTAACAGTTCTTTCTCCAATTTCCAACCAATAAATCCTTTTATCTGCATTCTGACTGCAGTAGCGTTTAAAATGGAATGTATTATCATAAGGTTCGGTGTTTATAAACACCCTCTCTTTCATCTCACGTATAAGAACATCATCATTTTCACATCTTCTTTCACCACTTAAGCTTTTAATCAACTCATCATGGGATTTTGAAATATTTCCAATCATACCAGTAATCATAAATAAGATGTTTTTATTACTTCCGTCAACACGTTTCTCATTTAAAATAAATTGCAATACTCGTTCTCCAGATGTAACTTTGCAAACTTGTACATAAAAAACGTGGTCGTTTGGGTCGATTGTATATTTCTGTTGAACCAAGAGTTCGTCATTAATGAGCAGATTGTATAAAATATTGGTGTCAATGACTGTACTTAGTCTTTCTTCATCAACAACGTCTATTTTCAATAGCTTCCGCAAACTCAATTTTTCACCTTGCAATTCAAGTACGGGCTTCGATAACAACAAGTTTTGTGATTCCTTTGTAAGGTGTTTAAACGAAAGAGGTGATACTTCCTTCGAAAGTTTTGGCATACCAGATAGAGAGGGTATATCCAGACATTGCTGCTTTGATGTAATAAAAACAATCTTCTTCATGATGTTCAAATCTTTTATACATGAAAATATATTTTCCAGTAAATGTTCGTCATCTTTACACTTATTCAGTTGATTTGGATAGACAATGACTAACAAGTTAATGGAGCAAGATTTCGAGTTTAGAATCCTTGTTATGTCTGTAAAACTTTGTAAAACTGCTAATCGTTTCCAATTTAGAAACAGTTGATGTTGATCTAGAATGTATTCTTTGAGTTTGCAATTAGAATTCAAATTCAGATTGACATCTCTTTCCATTTGTTTACAAAGGTTGTGTATTCTAGATGCTTCAAATTCCACATCTTCGGAAATAAGGTGGAGCATTATTTGGCTTATTTCATTTTCCAAAAAATCTTTCAAATTTATCACATCTTTAAAATTAGTGTGATATTTTATGAAAGAATCCACATAAAAATTAGATGCTGCTTTAAATATAGATTCCGCGAGTGTTGGAGCACTCAATTCCTGCTTTATGGCGTCTTTCAATTCCGTTTGAAACCATCGCATTAACTGCTTTGTCCGGTTGATTAATTGTTTCACAGACCCACCTGAAGAAACACCGATTCTATCGGCATCTATGTAGAAATCTGGTAGAAGTTGTCGGTAGTCGCCCATGTTATGCTTAGAAGTGAAAAATTGTAAAGTTGTTAATTCTTTATTAGATAGTATCAAGGTATTCCAACATTTTAATAATCTGCGTTCTTCATCAGTGAATATTCTTAGATTACAGAAATTTTCTCTGTATTCTTTGGTTTGATAACGAATACTAGTATTTCCTTTGTCTTTGCATAGTTCATGCTTTTCTACAGGATGGTAGTCATTTAACCAATTTGCCCATTTAAAAAAATCACTAAATTCTTCCCACATTCTCTCTGAATACTCAGTAAGTGGCCAGTCCACAACTTCTTGTATCTTCGGCTTCCCATTTGCATCCTTAATCACATTTCCGGTTTTCGAATCAAAGACTCGGACTATTTTATTCATTCGATGAGTAGCCAAATTGTACATGAAAGTGTTTTTATCAATGAAATTCATATCAGACAAATCTATGAATATCCTATAGACCGTTCCCACGTGTAAATTACAAGTATTAATCCGGTTGGGAGCAGACAAATAGCTCGTAATGTCTAATTTACGGAGAGACAGAGAGCTTTTGTATCTTACGTCGTATTCTTTCTTCAATTCCTCTAGCATATCGTGGCAACCCGGGCTGTCAAAGGTAACAGTATGAGCATGAATACTCTCCGTACTATTGCTCCTGATGAACTGTCCACCTTTCTTTGCAAGGTACTTGCAGCTGAAACAGGCGATTTGTGCCAGCCACCCGCCTAGAGAATGGCCGGTGAACGACAACTGGAAAGAAGCTCCGGGCGTTCGATTGACGTCGTTGATCAGCCGTCTCACTTTATCGGCGAAGGTTATGGCAGTGTTGAGGCGCGCACTGAACTTGTTTAACGCCACGCTCCACACGTTTGTGAAGCCCGCTCGCACGTCCATCAGCCCCTTCGTGCCTCTGTGAGCGACCACAATCTGTTGCGTTCCAGGGTTCCAATACGCTGCACCGAAGTAGCCACTGGACTTGGAGCTAGCCGCGGTGAGGAGCTGCCAACCTCCAGGCAACTGCTCCGGTTCCCCACATCCGTCCCGCTCTCTGTACACCCTCCACGACAGATGCGCTAGCACGTAGGGACTCGGGTGGAAATCCGCGTCGAGGTTGTGATCAACCAACGAGCCACACTCACGCACTGAATCTAAGAGGATTTGTTTCAGATTGTCCTCGCTGCAACGGAGATCTCCGTCCACTTTGGACAGTTTCGAGCAAGAGGGGAGTGTCTGGCCGTCTACCTCGGACGAGGCGGAGGCGCTCCGTCGCTTTTCAGGTTCCACTTCAGACATTCTTTCACAGGAGCATTGATTCAATAAAAGAACTAAAAAATTGTCACTCACCAACTTGTGTGATTAATGTGGCGTTACATTTCTAATTGACAATTAATTGTTACATTTCCTACAATTAAAAGCTCTGTGGTAGTTACTATTCTCATTACGAAAAAAGATTTAAAAAAAACAATCATACTGTTTTGGAGAGTTGTAACCAATTCACGGGCCTACAGGCCAACCTTAAAAGATCATTAAAAATTATCTTTTGACACTTTTCTTTTCCATACGTTTTCAACAATGTAATCAATATTTACACAATATATTATAGCAAATACTTTTTAAAACACTTTCAACACATATAATTTGGTACAATTTTCAATAGCAATATCCTACAAAAAATAAGAAATTTCTGTCTTGAAATAGTTATTAATTATTTTTTGTGAATATTTTCATAATAATGAAGTATAACTACCGTAAGTATAATTGAATTAACGATTAATTTTGTACCTTGTATTTTTCAGCAAATTTTAATTGTTTGTATCATCTTTTTTTCCAATTATATTAAACAGTTTAATGTGGCAATAATTTGTACGCATTTATTTCACACGTTCCAATGGGACTTTCTATTATGGAATTTGTTTTCCCGGTGTCCTGGAAGGTCTTCTTACAAACGATATCCTTTGGAGACCTGAAAAACACAAACATAACATTTATGATGAAAAGGATGCCTGCAGTTGATGTGGAGTATTTTAAGATAATTCTATTATAAGAACCTTCTGGATCTGAATTGTTCAGTTATACTTAGAAAAGGTTTGATGCAGTTTCAAAGTTTTAAAAATTATGTAAGAAATTGTATGTTGATCATTATTGAATAAAATATGTTTAGTGCATTTGGACATACCCTGCTCATTCATATACAACCTCTTTTTGCATTAATTAAAATATACAGTTCGCCTACCAGAAGGAGCAAACTTCAAATTGCTCTCCTGTAAAAAAACAAAAAGTGTAGATAGAACCCTCTGGTTCTGGGGTCGCGATGTCACACTTCAAGCAAGGTACATTTACAAAATCATGGAAAGTACACCGAAGAAGGATCTGTGAGCTTTATCTGTGTGCTAGTCTGAACAGAAAACTATCAAAATAATTCATGACATCAGAAGACTTGAAGGACCAAAAGTGTTATGTTCACCCTCCTAATATTGTGGGGTCTCTGGTGACCCCACATGTTTCTCTAATAATTTTTACAGTTTCTATTACTTTAAAAAATCTAAAAAAATGACTTTTGCTTGTTCGTTTTGTACACATACGCATTGGGTTTGCAAATATTTGCGTTTTTATTTTCATTTTCATTCGTACTTGCAACATTGAATACCAGTGGGGTCATATATGACCCCAACATCTAATTCTTGTGATGGATAATTTTCTTCGGTTCATAGTAAATGTTAACAACTTTTTGTAACTACAATAGGTTGATATCAAATGAAATTATTGTATTTTGTTTTGGTTATGCTAGTCGAGTAACACTGTTTTCGTATTACCATTCCTAATATGAAACTTTCTGATGGCGAACTACGTCGCATTTTACTTGACGCTAGTTCTTCAGGAACAGTGACAGATAAATAGATGCAATTGGAAAGGGTGAAATTGAATCAGACGATTGTGACCAGAGTAGTGAAAGAGTTTTAGGAATAATATTAGATATTGGCTTTTACAGGTAAGGATATATCACAAAAATGTATGCATTTCTTCCGATGTATTGTGATAAATTATTCAGGATTTGCTTGTTAACTACAGATCCAAACAAGTGGTGCTAGAACAGCACATACTTTCTGGCGTTATTTGAAACAGCTACGTAATATTGAAAAATTGCATTTTCTACGCCACTTAACACCTTAGCTGTTATTTAAAACGTCCAATTCAACCAATGCAAACAAAACGCCTGTGATGCATATCTGCATTCATTTCGATAGTCAGGTGCAGCAATCATTTCTTACTTTGAAAATTAACAAACAGGAATATATTTGAATGCAAGTTACTTACAGTAGTGAGTACATTAATTCGAACACTGTGTTCTTTAGAACATTTTATTTTCACACTGGGAAACAAACCAAACTTTTCTTGTACTTAATAATTTATATCCTCTCCTCTATTGTTAACTTCATTTATTCTCTTAGGCATTGACTCTATCAAAGTTAAAAACTTATCTGAATCCTTCGCCACGAAACCAGACACTGAGAAGTGACTTAAGAAGTTTTATTTTTGTATTGTTCTTTTTGAAAAAACTTTCTTTGGTGTGCGAGGACCTATTGGAAGATCAACGCCTTGTTCCTTTCAAGTAGTGGTACGATTCTTCTCTCCAATATTTTCAATTTATTAATCAGTTTTCATCATTCACCCCCAGAACCTCATGTGAAATTTATTACGACAAAATTAGTTGCGTGCTTCACAGTGGCCAGTCCAACCCCTGTGAAGCGTCGTAAACCTTACCCCTCTCCTTATTCCTTCCCAATGGAAGGAAGACCTGATGACTGGAAAAAGGCTATAGTTGTTCCCAATACTCAAGGTTGGAAACAGCTCTGACGTCGAAAACTACCGCCCGATTAGTCTAACTTCGGTAGTAGGTAAACAAATGGAAAAAATCATTGCAGAGGAGCGAAAAATCCTGGAAACTCGTAGTGATTAAAGTGAATACAAATTATTAATGTAAAAACATTTGTGGCACTTATCATTGTGGTTGTTGCGTAAATTTAAAATAAGGGATGAATCACAAATAAATGATCGATTCTCTTGTCAAGGTTTAACCAGAACTCCGGGTATTGATGGGGTAACCGCTATCCATCCCCTTGAAATAAATAGAAAAATTCTCGAAAACAAATAGAGTACGAGCTAAAATCTACAACGATATCCTTGAACAATTGCTCACCCATGAATAATAGTTGGATCCTACTGTATGCAACTTCAGAGAGCAACTCTACTTCAGCATCAGAGATCCGGAAGAGAAGATGAAACTTACAGAACAATAGGTACGGAAGATGGTACTAATTCTAGTGTGTGGAAGGGCAACGTCCATCGAATAGTGAGGTGACACTGGCACAGACTTCCGACTAGTTTAATTTCTTGTCTGGTTAGCTTCGGTTTTGCCCATCCTCTTGACCAGCTTCCGTGTATCCTGCCCAAAGTGGCTTCATTAATTTTGTATTTTTGGTTTCCTAATAGTGCAGACAATATATTTTCTTTAAGGAGTATTAAAGAAGAGAAAACCTAGTCTGCAAGGAAAATTGTGTTTAAAAATTTGGAGCCATTTTAGAAAACGTCGTTTAGGCGTTACTAGTAAATTCGGAAAGTGTGACAATCTTTTTTACAGAAAACATTTGAGTTCAAGAATCAATGGAAGTCATTTGAAGGACTTTCTCTAACAATGCAACAAATATACACGTAGATGAAAAGGGCATAGTAACAACGTGAGAGACATTACAAAAATACATGGGAATTTTTTAAACAAAACGATTAGAGCAACATGGCTTAGTCGTCTTAAATCACACAACTTGCACTATCCGAAAACAAGTTTGAAAAAAACTTGGAGCTTTTTTTTGAGAAAAGGATTGGATCGAATCACAAATTGAAGTCGTGAAACTGTAATTATACTTTCCATTAATTTCAATCAGAAATAAGCAAAAAACTACTGTGTTTTAAAAAATTGTACATTATCTTTTTTCAAATATCTAATATGTACAACAGACTTTGACAAAAATCTACTTAATTTGTAGTTATTTTTTTACTATAAAAAAGTCGAGCATTGCGAAACGATGGCGGCGGTTTTTTTCCGTCCTTATTAATATGTGGAAAAATGAGCAAAACAAAACATTTGGAGCGGTTTGAGAAAAAAATTGTTTACATCAAGCGCGATATTAAGCAAGTAACGTGTTTCAAAAAGACGTGCATAACTTTTTTAAAGACCTATACAAGCGGAAACGAAATAAGAAATTTTAAAAAAACTGCACTTGGGCGGCGATAGATGTAGCTAGCAAGAGGTATGTGGCAAGTCAAATCGCCTGCGAAACCAAAGGAATAGAAATATACGGAAAGATTGTGCATTCTGTGTCCATAGTTTTCTAATATAACCAAAGATGATGTATTTGAAATGGTCGAAGAGTGATTGGAATGGATAACGAAGTGAGGGATTAATTAGACAATCTCCCGACAAAGGTCCTAGACTTCATAGAAAACAAGTATTACGTTTGCTTTTTTTTACCAGGAATTAGAGGAATATATTGTCAAACTTGTATTCCTCAGATTCCGTTCTGAATAAGTCAATATATTGCAGATATAAGGAATAGTTGTAAGAAAATGTAGTAGTATGTAATTATACAAAAGCTTTGTAAAATAGTGGTGATCTCAACTATACTCTTCATTACGACGTACTAACATTCCATGCACAAATAACTACGGAAACCACTGCAAATTCCCACCAAATTAGGCAGCGGAAATGTTTTATTCGCAGAAGTAGGAAAGGGAAAGAAAGATAGCAGTTTTCATTTTCTGAATGCAATGGTAAAAGAATTGTGGAGATAAACGCAGGATCGGCGGTCAAGAAGCCATCCTGTGCACTCAGGTTAGGGCGCAAATCCCTCGAGGCAGAAAGAAAGTGAGAGACCGAAAGACATCGGAAGAGATTGATCGACTATTTCACAGGTATAGTGCATTAAATCAATCTATTTTAGAGGGAGTTTGATTGGCTTTATTAACCAAGTGAAGGACTGGAAAGCAATGGGGACTGGAAAACTAAAGCTCTCTTCGAAAGGGGACGTAATCTCACATAATGTGTCAATATTATTTGTTGTAATTCAATAATTATTATTGTCTATTTTCAGTTTAGTACAACTCTAGTTTTTATTATTATAGATTTAGAAATATTGATTGCGTAATAAAATGGAAACGAAGAATTCTGCTAAATATTTCAGTTATGACGCTTGAAGTGGATCTCTATGGCTTGAAATTAATTTAGCCTAAATGAAATACCGTCTTATAAAATGTATCCGAATCATTTTTCACATCCACTTAGAAATAATATGCGACACTTCATAGAAATACATGACGGCAGGCGCAATTGTGCCTTCGTCAATGTCAACTATTTATAATTAATCATATTTCAATTGATTAATTTTAATCAAGATATTCCTATCATTGCTTTGCGGAATCCAGATAGAAATCAGTATCCGTAGGGCAAGTAAAGAACATTTCAATTTTTTTTACTCGACACATTTTAAGATCTAGTGTTGAAGAACACTTCTATACAAAATTACTTCTATTGAATACGCTGAAGCATAAGTTCTGACCTATTAATTAGTAAAGCATTGCGAAACAATCGCAATTCGCGGAGTGTGACATTAATTGTATTAAAGTTCGTAAAATCATTTCCTAATAGTCTACTAATTATTATTATTATATTATTTATATATTTTAATATTATTATTATATTATTATTATTATTATTATTATTATAGCCCGTTCAACTCTGGTAGAGGGCAAGGGCCTTCGGTGTGAGTGGGTCAACAGTGGTGGGTTCCGCTACACCCAATTCGGGACTTCTAAATACGTAAATTTACCTAAATATGTATTCTACTACGTTGTGGATATCAAAATATATAAAGGTTTCAAATGTTGTAAAAGAACATATATAACGAATAG